ATTTAGGTGCTTGTTGGCTCTTGGCTAGTATGAGTGTGGTGTTCCTATGAACGTTCTTGTACATGTCTTTGGTGCAAGTGTGTTTGCATTTCTGTTGGGACTATACCTAGAGTAGAACTGTACGGGGTTTGTTCAGCTTTCAAGGACACTGACTAATTGCTCTCCAAAGTGATTTTCCCAATTTACATTTCCGTGGGAAGTATATGAAAATCCCCACTTGGCTACTGTCAGTGTTTTCCACTGTAGCCATTTTAGTTGGGGTTTAGTGGTGGCATGTGATAGTTTTAATTTGAATTGCCATCATGACTAATTAGCTTGAGCAGCCTTTCATGCGTTCACTGGCCTTGTGGAGATCCTCTTTTGTGAAGTAAGTGCCTACTGACATCTCTTGCTGATCTTTAACTTGGCTACCTTTTAAAAAATTGTTGGGTAAGAGTTCTACATATCCTCTGGAGACAGTGTACACAGAGGTATGTACTGGAGATCTCTTCCTGCCTTTTTACTCTCTTCATAGTGTCTTCTAATGAACAGAGATGACTCCTTTTTTTGCATTTGATAATGTTTTTTGGATGGTTAGTGTTCTTTGTATCTTGCTTAAGAAATCTTTGCTTATCCCAAGATGTCAAAGATAATATCCTATGTTACCTTCTGGAAGCTTCAGTTTTTACCTTTCACATGTAGAACTCAAACCTCCTCTGAACTTCAAGTTTTGTGTGTGGTGTGAGGTAAGGGTCAAGAGCCCTCTTTTTCCCCAAAAGGCTACCTAGCTGACCTGGAAGAACTTACTGAAAAGACTATCCTTTCCTCCCTGTTCTGTGGTGCCCCCTTGTCATAAATCAAGTGTCTACATATGTGTGGGTGTTTCTGGACATTTGATTCTGCTCCATTTATCTATGAGTCTATCCTCATGCCAACACCATACTGCCTTAATTACTTATGGCAGCTTTATGATAAATTTTGTTTTCTAGTAGTTTAACTCCTCCAAATTCAGTTTTCTTTCTTCTTCTTCTTCTTTTTTAAAGATTTTATTTATTTATTTATCAGAGAGAGAGAGAGAGAGAGCGCACAAGCAGGGGGAGTGGCAGGTAGAGCGAGAAGCAGGCTCCCCGCTGAGCAGGGAGCCCGACGCGGGGCTCAATCCCAGGACCCTGGGATCACGAACTGAGCCAAAGGCAGACGCTTAATCTACTGAGCCACCCAGGCGTCCCCAAATTTAGTTTTCTTATTGAAAAATGCCTTAACTATTCTAATCCTTTGCTTTATTTAACCAAAAATTCTGTGAGGTAAAGTAGTTATGATTTTCATCTCTACTGCACAGATCTGTAAACCCAGAGAAGTAATTTGCCTAGGGTCATATAACTATCAAGTGATGGGAAGGGATTAGAACCCAGATTTGCCCGATTCTAGACCCAACTATTTCAAGTCCTTCATATACCGCCTCCTTAATCCTCAAGCCAGATGATCCCTTCAGGGCATTTAATATGAATGCGTTAGATTTCAAGAAATTCTAATCTTGTTTGCCAACTACAAAAAGCCACTTTCCCAGTGAGGCTGAGGAAAACAGAGCAACAAGAGGTAAAAGCTGCTTAGATTCCTTCCAGAGATGCCTCTGTCTCCAGAGTAGCAATCACATCCCTCACACCCAGGTCCCTCCTCAGGCCTGGCTCCCCTCCACCTCTCAGCTTTAACTGCCCCCCTTCTCCCCGCCCCTTGCTCCCAACTCTTAAGCCACACTCAACTACTTGTGTCTTCCTACTAAGTCAAGTTCTTTCACAAAGCTGCACCTTGCTCACGATGCTCCCTTCCACCCCTGGCTACCTCCTCTTTTTCCCTGAGACCTGGGGATCACTCCCCTTGGGAGGCCTTCCCAAACTCATCTGGGTTGGGCACTCCTCCTCCTCTGTGCCCCCGTCCTCGTGTCACACTGTCCTAGAGCTCAGCTGTCTGTTTCTCCAACTAAACTGAGGCAGCTGAGGCTGGGCCGGCATTATCACCATGCTCTGCAACTTGCATGCTGACTCACAGAACCGGTGTTTGCTACAAAGTCTGAGGGGGAGCCAAGACAGACTCTTTTGCAGGGTGCTATAAATGAATAATAGACTCTAGGAGGAGCCGGAGAGAATGCCTTCTAACCCATCCGGAAGGCACTCTTTGGCAGAAGTGGAGAATGAGAAGCTTAGGGAAGAGATGGTTGTACCTTCTGGGACGGATGTGGGCTTTTAGCTGGGACAGAAATAGGCTGGAGTGACACAAAGTCAGGTATGAAATGGCTGCATATAGTAAAGCAAGCTGAGACGCATTACAAGACTTTAGGAGAAGTAAAATACCATTTAGTACACAAACTTAACAAGGTAGGTGCTTCTGAGCTGAATTCATTCAATAAACCGGAAGTTTGGTTCTGAGGGTAGTTGTTTCTCTCCCTCACCAATTTCGCCAGTGATGGTTTTGAGAGCAGGCAGGGAGAGGAATACATTGGAAAGGAGGAGTCTCTCTAACCGGGACATTTTCAAGAAAATGAGACCTGACACTCCCATTTGGGTAGAAGAAGAGACCACCTCGAGGCCCTTCCCTGCTCTGTAATCCCCAGGCTGCTCGAACGCCTCCAGTCCTTGGTGCCAGCCCGAGGCGGCGCAGCCCCAGACTGTGAAGTCTTTGAGAACTTTTCAGGCTACGTGAGAGCTCACTGGCTTTTCTCATCAAGAATATAAGCTTGATTTTTCATAAACATCTTTCCCAGGAACATCAAGCTGACCCTCTTTCACCACCAGCAAAATAGAGAAAAGGAAAAACTGCAAGGTGTCCAACACAGGCTTTCCAGATTTTCTCAGTTAATTCCCATTTTTATGGTCATTTTATTTGCTAAAGGGCAGAGAAGGGAATAATAGCTTTTTGGAGAAGGAAAACCAGTCTAGTCTGCCACATCCTTCCTGGTTTTCTCCGCTGGCTTAGCTGTACTCAAAACAAGGGTTTACTTTTCCTTCTTTCAGAAATTCAGAATCTAGGACATCACAGGGTTGTGGATGTTTGGAGGACTGATAATCTTCTGGCATGGGAAACACTCTTAATTTGCTAAATTTTTTAATTTGGGGTGGGGGTTTACTGACATTTGGGCAGCTTAGTTGATGTAAGAAAATCTTCAAATAAGGAAAGCCTCTGTCTCCAACTTATACCTCATGTTAGAAATTGGTTTTCAGAAAATAAATGTCAGAGAGCAGGCATTCATGCAAACAGCTAGATGCTTCTGATCCAAACTTACGAAACCCTAGAATGGATTGCTCCATGGGTTGCAAATACAAATGATTGATTCACTTTCTGCCCAAATACGAAAATCTATTCATAACAGTTTCCTGTTTGGGCCGGGGAAGCGGCCACTGGGAAGAACAAACAAAAAGCTGGCGGGGAATCCATAAAGCCCCACTGTTCTGTGGTACTCTGTCTAGCGTGTTACTGCAGGGGAGCCCTAAGACGGCAGGGTCACACATGACGCTCCACGTGGCTGTGTGGGTCGCGCGGCACAAGTTCACTGTCGGCTGTTGGCTAGATCGACTTGAAGATCCTTGCCGGGTTCAGCAGCCTGTTGGATGCTGACAGCTGGGGCTGGGTTCGAGTTAGTGAATGCCATGGGGCAAACCGCAGTGCCCAGCTGGGCTGGGTATTTGCGTCAAGAGAGCGGAGACTGGCTACCAATTCTGAATAGGGGCTGACAAGTTGCTAGAGGGTGCCAGCCATGTCCTGACCCTCAGTGGGCAAGGAGACTATGGAGAGGAGAAAACAGACCCTGATCTACCCGAGCCCCTCCCGCTTTTTCATTTAGAAGGGAAAAAACTGTTTGGTAACTCGAGCCTCCCGAACAGAAACGGCTTTCTGAGTAGCCAGAAGTCCCAACTGGAAAAGGACTCTGGGGGATCATGGCAGGGAAGGAGGGTTGTCAGGTATGAGGCTCGTGTGTGAAGGACCCACACCACACGGCAACAGTACGAGGACTGCCTCAGTGGCTCTGTAAGGCGGAAACGGCAAGAGTATGTTCCAAAGACAAAGTTTGTTACCGTCTAAGGATGGAGGGACCTCTGTAGACATTCTCAGTGAAAAACTCACGTTAAGTATTTAAGGTCTGCTGAAATCCCAGGTTTTTCCCCTTTGTTTTCAAATGAGTAGTGCCCTTCAAACACAGTACATGAGAAATGACAGTAACTCCATTTTCAGGGATATATATCACACAGAGAGAATAGCTTCAGTTTGGCAGACTGTATTACATAGGACAAGGGAAATGAGATTATAGATATGGATTTATTAGGTGATGGGGATTCCTCTCCCTATGATTTAATGTACTTTCCAAGTTTTGAAACACAGGTCAAGGATGGGCCTGTTCTCTGTTGTGCCTACAGATGGATGGAAGTGTGTATGACCATCCCAGAGCCATGTCCGTCACTCCCGAGTTTTTGTCCCTGCTGTCTTCCCTGGCACCTCCTTGTCAAATGCCAAGTGCGAGAAGCTAATGCTGGCCCACTTGTTGATGGAGAAAGTACGTACAAAGCAAGATGACTGAGCAAATCCTGTGGATACAAACTACAAAGTCTTTTTCTGCTTCCTAAGAGGCTGTGTCTATTTCTAGAGTTCTTCTAAGTTGGATATTTTCAAATGTGACACACTGTTAGATCTAGGTGGAATAAGGGTTTTGTAAAACACTGAATGATGATCAGAGAAAGGAATAACCAGCCTTGTTAAAAGCACACTCAGCAGGATGCCAAAATATACCAGATCCTCATACAAACAGCGTGGATTACATTAACAGGCCTCCCTGGGTGAGCGGGAAGTCTTATTCCCAACTCTCTCTGCCTACCTTAGACTCACCCCATGGTTATGTAACCTTTAGAATGGAATTTGGAAATTCTTCTGACCCTGCCCTGCTTGCTGATAGAGCTGAGCCAGTGGCTGGCAGGGGCATAATCTAATAGGCGAAATTGGAAACACACAAAGTCACAGTCCTCTTGCCTCAGCCCAGAGACTATGCAGGCAAGGAAAGAAAGACTCGCCCCTGTCTTCCTCCTCCCCTCTGGCCTAAGTTTACGCTGACTTCACCCAACAGGCACCTGACCCTCCCAGATGAGCTGGGAGGGGCTAAAGCACCATGCACGTCCACAGTGGGGGTGGAGGTGCAGGCAGCAGATAATATTTAAGATGCTGCGTCTGTAGAGTGTTCAGGGAAAGAAAGGAAAGGTATAGGGAGCCCAATTCATTTGCACTTTTAAACTCAAGCTTTGACAAAGGCTAGGAAAGAGCAAGGGAAGAGAAAGCAAGAGCGTGGTTAGCCCGTCCAGGGAGAAATTGCACGCTGGTAATTTGCTCAGCTTTGCAGACCTCAGCTGGGCATATCCAGATCCCCAAAAGGAAGATCATTCCTCACCCAGGCCCAAGAAAGATGCTGAAAAAGACTCTCCCAGGGGTGACCTGGCTCTGCATTTTCATCATGGCCTTTGTCAGCCCCCCAGCGTGGCCACAGAAGCCCCCGAAACGCAAAACACCCGTGCAGCTCCAAGTGGCCACCTGCTGTGAGGAGGCGAAGGAGCTCAAGGCCCAGATCGCCAATCTAAGCAGCCTGCTGAGTGAACTGAGCCAGAAGCAGGAGAGGGACTGGGTCAGCGTGGTCATGCAGGTGATGGAGCTGGAGAGCAGCACCAAGCGCATGGAGTCACGGCTCACAGACGCGGAGAGCAAGTACTCGGAAATGAACAACCAGATTGACATTATGCAGCTGCAGGCGGCCCAGACTGTCACCCAGACCTCGGCAGGTAAGGAGAACATGTTCACCTACTACTCATCATCTTCTTGCTCAAACGGCCGAGTGTCTCTGTCTGTAGCATGATTTCTACATATCTTGGCCATCAGATCGATGACAGGGGGTTCTTTGGGGTATATTTTCTTGGGTATGTGCCACTGGCTCTAATGTTCTGTACATTTCTATAAATTTACCCAGTGCCTGCACCATCTCTTCATTCACAATATGTTTCAGCATATGAAAAGTATGAATTACCATCCCGGAGTGCAGAGAGACAACGTGGTTTGCCCAGAGTCACATCGAAAATCTTAGAAACAGGGTTCAAGTCTCCCTGATTGGTCAACTTCCTTAGCCAGAGCTGACAGGCTGTACCCTCAGTCCCAAGGAAACAGGAATGAACACCAAAACTGTAACATCTGTTGTTCTAGAAGCCAAATTCTGTCATGTCCCGAAGATTTACTGGTATAAGCATTAATGGATTTCGTGTCTTGTTTGCAAACTTGACTCTTCCCACTGGCTCAGAATTAGGTGTAGATGTTGCCTAGAGCCAGATGAAGGATTCCTTTGTGTTCAGGAAAGGACATGCTCCTCGAGGTTCCCTGCTTCTGAGATTTCTATTTCTTCCCATGATCTCAAATAAAATTCTCCCATTATAGGAAATAAGAAAATGCAATGTTGAGATCTGGATTTTCAGTGACCCCAAAATAAGATACATTTAATGTTTTCTAAAATAATTTTCAGTTTCTAGGTACATTGGCTTAGACTGGCCAAGGTCAATTTACTGTTCAGAGAGAAGAGATTTGGGTTTCCGAAATCATCAGGAAATTATTACTTGTAAGGAGAATATCCTATATCTATGTCACTTATTGCTGATATAAAAATTTTTTGTCACATCATAGACCAAGTGAAGACACAACAGACTAAATCACTGGTTACTCTCAGTTCAAATGAAGAAAAAGCCTCAACATGAAATTAAGTTTCGACATCCCATTGTTAATAAACCACCATGTATAAATCGCTTTCTAAGCATGTACTTCCTGCCCCTCAGTGTGGGACTAGAATAGAAAGGTATCCTTAGGACATTTTCCAGATAAGTGGGTTCTGATCTGGCCTGTGAAATGAAACCAGACCCGCAGGAGAGCAGGCCAGCTGGGAACCTGCCCCTGCCACCCCCGGCTCCTCCAGTCGGGATTTGCTCCCCTCCCAGCAGGGAGTTTCTTGGGGGTCGAACAAAGGCAGCTCTCCTGCTGTGCCTCTTTCTCTTCTTGCCCAGGATATCGTTCCTCATTTTTCTTCTCTATTACCAGGTGCTGGGTCACCTTCGTACTGTGTTAGTAGATAGGCCAACGGAGAAAGCAGTAAGTTGATGCTTTCATCGCTACAGAAAATGAAGGGGTTGATGGTGAAGGCACGTGCCTCCCCACCCCCTCCTGCAAGACGCTCTGCCTGGGACGGTTCCTGGCAGAAGTGCCGCCATTGGTGTGTTCTTCTTAAAGGCCCAGTGCAGGGGCCACCAAGGAAAGAATCCCAGACACAGAGGGTGGGAAGCCTTTCCTGGATAGCAAGGGTTCCCGCTCTTTGAATCCTATCAGGAAAGGTGGTTTCTTCCGTGGTGCTCTTTGACATTTGCAACATGGAGACCAAATCTGGCATAAGGCAGTAGCCCCCAGGCAGCCAAGGAAGCACTTAAATCAACCCGAGTGAAAACCAGTCTGTCCAATGCTCTCGTTTGCTTGTTTTAATAATGCTGCCAGGGGAAGGCCTCTAAGCATTCCTCAGGGTGTGTGCATTTCCATTTGAGAATTGAGCAGTGTTAGATGAAAGGGGGGGCGGAATAAGATGTGAAATCTATCTCCCTTCATTAGGGTCCTAGTAGGTAATCTAGATAAAAATAACTAATTCTCATAGGTAAAAATAGCCATTACCTCTGAAAAACCACCACGAACCATCACACAAACTAAGCAACCAGGCAAACAACCAAAGCAGACCCTACTCATGACTTATGTGGTAAGAGAGGCTGGCTGTCCCAGAAGCTGAATTTATTAAACAGGAGCATCTGTTATGTAGCCATCACACATTGGAATGTTTCCAGAATTCATGGCCTAGAACCTCAGCAGGATAATCGATTTCAGAGTTAACCTAAAACCACCCATTTGATTATCCCATTGATGTTATCCAGGTGAAGGGCTTCCCTACCCCTCAGCCCCCCAACCAGTGAAGCCAAAATACACCCCCTTTTGGTCTCCCAATGCCTACACCTCTCCAAAATCCAGACACGGCCTAGTAATGAACACTCATGTGAATGTCGTGGTAGAAATGAAGTCTCAGTTTTGAAACTCTTAACTGAGCTGCAGCACAGATGTCCACCTGCCGTGGAGCCCCCAGGTTTGGATGCTCACCCCTGTGGTTTGCTCCTGTTGTAGATGCCATCTATGACTGCTCGTCCCTCTACCAGAAGAACTACCGCATCTCTGGAGTGTACAAGTTGCCTCCTGATGAATTTCTGGGCAGCCCCGAGCTGGAGGTGAGGTCAGCAGAGCCCACTGCCCAGGTGCTCCCATCTGTCCTCCGCCCCCTCAAAGGGCTGGGGGCAATGGGGCTTGTCACAGTAGAAGCAAAGGGAAACTCAAGACAGAGAATCAAACATACCAAATACCACAGAGCTAGCCACACACTCAATTTGGGGGGGAACCTCCCCAGGCATCTGTTTTGCCCCTTCAAATCATTATCAACCAAACACCATATCTTCTAACATAGATTAGGTAATTCTATAACCTCTACCCAACTAGTTGACATCTCTTGCCATGACCTAGAGCAGTTAGTTATTCTTTGGGGAAGGAGAAAAGAGAGAACATGTTGAGAGCATATGTGGATTTTCTTCTCTTCCGACAAGATGTGCACTTGCCCCCATCCTCAATTTTGACAATTCTTCCCCAGCAAACCACCACCTCGCTCCTGCCGGCCAACATGGCCAAACAGTGGCCGTAGTGAGCCAGCATGACTATGGATGTGCACACATCCATTGGCTCTGCGGAAATGCGCGGAAGGTGGTGCAGCCCGCCGCCCTTACACTCCTCTGCCCGCCTCTGTGGGTCCCTGACCAGAGCATCCTCTCTGCCGCAGGTGTTCTGTGACATGGAGACGTCAGGCGGCGGCTGGACCACCATTCAGAGACGAAAGAGTGGCCTTGTTTCCTTCTACCGGGACTGGAAGCAGTACAAGCTGGGCTTTGGCAGCATCCGTGGGGACTTCTGGCTGGGGAATGAGCACATCCACCGGCTGTCCAGACGGCCAACCCGGCTACGTGTGGAGATGGAGGTGAGCATGAGGCCTCGGACCGGAGCAGGCTGCCACACACAACTGGGCACAACTCTGGGGGCGCCCTTCCCATTCTTGTCCACTCTAGGCTTGTGTATTTATTATGATGGTTTTCCTGCAGATTGCAGTACAGTTGAGGGAGACGAGATTTTTTCCTGTTTTTGTTTTTTTCCCACAAAAGCAAGACTGCAGATACACAAGAAGAGGCTGGACTCGGGCCAGAGCAGAGGAATCCCCAGTCAGTGGGGCTGAAATGCGGCGATGCCTGCTCTGGCCTGGGGCACGAGCTCCTGTGTGTGCAAACCGTGAGGGCCGTGAGTGGCCTTGGAGCGCTGCTTTCCTCTCAAGCCGCTCTACGACATCTCCGAGGGGGATAGAGCCAAACGCACACCTACACCTTCCAGGCAGGGCCGGGAAGGGCTACAGAAAGAGAGGCTGGTCTAGGCCAGCTGGGGACTCAGGAGAGACGTGTGGCCCAGTACCCTTGTCCTCTGACTCCCAGCTTAGTGCGGCCCCCTAAAGGCAAACACGCAGGAAAGTCTTGCTTGGTCCGCAGCAGGAACCGGATGCGTGGCTGCGAGCGGAGAGGGGAGAGTGGCAGCACGGGCTGAAACGAGGGCCCGCCGCAGCTCCCCTAAGGCTCGGCGTCCTCCCTGACAGGACTGGGAGGGCAGCGTGCGCTACGCAGAGTACAGCCACTTCGTCCTGGGCAACGAACTGAACAGCTACCGCCTCTTCCTGGGGAACTACAGTGGCAATGTGGGGAACGACGCCCTGGTCTACCACAACAACACGGCCTTCAGCACCAAGGACAAGGACAATGACAACTGCTTAGACAAGTGTGCACAACTCCGCAAAGGTGAGACTGGTGGGGAGGGGGAGGCCGGTGGGGGTGGGAGAGGGGGCAGTCCCGCATGAGAAGAATGGATTTAGAGCCGCAGAGCTGGTATTCTGGCTTTGGTACTCTTTTTGGGGACACGGGTTCTAACTGCTTAGCCGCTGTTCCAAAAGCAGCTTCACCAATCCTGCTGTCCGGTCTGGCAGCTATTTCCAAGGGGAGGACGAGCTCGGCGTCCCAGCCCCGGTCTGTTTCTCGTGCCAGGTGGCTACTGGTACAACTGCTGCACAGACTCCAACCTCAACGGAGTGTACTACCGCCTCGGGGAGCACAACAAGCACCTGGATGGCATTACCTGGTACGGGTGGCACGGGTCTGGCTACTCCCTCAAACGGGTGGAGATGAAAATCCGCCCGGAAGACTTCCAGCCCTAAGAGGAGGCCTGCTGCGGGGCAGGGGTGGGAAAATGGGGACAAATGGAGGCTGGGTGAGGGCGGGGGAAGGGCAGGAAGAGGGGAGAGAAAGGTAGGGATGGAAAGATGGAAAATGGCCTACAATCACCAATGAGAGGGTCAGGAGCACAATCAAATTTAAGTACAAGGGTGTCACCTAAATGGGATGAATTATTTGAACACAATGGGTTATCACACATACTTCTCAGGGGGCTGGCCCGAGGGGGCTCTCTCTCTGTCCGTGATCCCTGACAGACACTAAAATCTCCTTTCCATTTGATTTTTTCTGTGAAAGAAAAGTAATTATGACATCACTTTACCTATTCAGTTGAAGGCCTAGGAGTATGAGGGCAGAAAACAGATTCCTCACCTAAAAAAGAACCCTGTGATTTTGATCGTCAAGGAGAGGTCTTGGGTGTTAGAGAAAGGCATGGAGGAGAGTTTTGATTTTTCAAATCTGATGAAATTACCTTCGGTCTACACATTTTTTTTTTTTAAGACAGAAATTGTTCCACTGGTGGTGGGCTGAGCCAGGTTGGACTTGCTCAGAGGGATCTCTGGGGATCCAGGCCTGGTGGCAGGCCTTTAGCAACTCCCTGCTCTGCCTCTATCAGGGTGAAATGCTGAAAGGCAGAAGTGGATCTAAGGGTGGCTGGGGAGTTCCAGCAGGAGGTGGGGAGAAGTCCCTCGGGGATGCTTGCACAAAACTGCCTTAAAATGGTCAGTCAATACAGATATATCTATTTTTATTTTTTACTTTGTAAGAAAAGGGCTCAAAGAGCTTTCTCTTTTAACTTGTCTATAAAAAGTGGCTGCAAAATGAAGGTAAATGACACCATGGTTAATAATTCATGCTGTATATAAGTACTTTGCTTTGTAAAAATAAAATACTGTAGTATGTTGTAAACATTCGGAGTTTCTTTTTCCTTCTACAATAAATTCTTTTGAAACTCGTTGGTTTTTAAATTATTGCCATTATCATTTAGAGCAAGGTAAAAAGTTTCAGTGAAAAATCAGAGGGTGAGCAGTGAGAAAGAGACTCTGATTTTGTTGCAGTCTTTAGGGAAAGCAAGGGAGGAGCCAGAAGCCAAAGAGCGAGAAAGTGGGGGACAAAAAGGGCAGCAGCCACTGGGAGAGGTCAGTTCTATCCCAACGGAGCCCAGTGCCACCACAGGGCTTCAAAATACTTTGCAAACCAACCCTCTTCCTTTCTACTTGAGCAAACTAACACATAGAGAGGGAGCATATCTTTAGCCATAACAGATGCAAAATAATTTTGAGTGTGAGGAAGTCATTTTTATATGACTCTCAATAAAAAGACCCATTCCCTTGACCCAATCAGTGTGAGGTAAGCCATTATTCTTATTCAGTGTTTCCTATTGTACCTACAGTCCCTGGATTGCTGGGAACCTATTTAACCTTAAAAACATGAACTCAGGGATTTTCAAAGGAATAGAGTGAGCAGAGAAGTGCACTAAAGCAGGGCATCCCACAGGACAGGCATTCACACAGAAACTTCCTGAAGCAGGCGGGGAGTCTGAGATGGCCAGAAACCAGCACAATACTGCCTGGAAAGGGAGGATAAAAAGATCAGGGTGTTAAGAGGAGAAGAAGAGCACAAACGCCTCTGGCAGAAGTAGCTAATAATCCTCTCTCTCTCTCATCTCCTCTAACCCCACAACTAAAAAACACCTAAAGCTCTAGGCACCAAAGGTTAACAATAAACAATTGGGACTGCCTCAAACTAAAAAGCTTCTGCACAGCAAACAATCAATATATTGAAAAGGCAACCTAAGAATGGGAGAAAAGATTTGCTATCTATAACCCCTCGTAAGGAGTTAATATTCAAAATATATAAAGGATTCATACAACTCAATAGCAAAAAAAAAAAAAATAGTCCAATTAACAAAATGGGCAAGGACCCGAACAGACATTTTTCCAAAAAAGATATTCTTGGAATGGCCACCAGATACATGAAAATGTGCTCAGCATCACTCATCATCAGGGAAATGCGAATCAAAACCCCCAATGAAATTATCTTCTCACACCTGGTACAATGGCTGTTATCAAAAAGGCAAGAAACAGCAAGTGTTGGCGAGGATGTGGAGAACAGGGAACCCCTGTCATTGTTGGTGGGAATGTAGATGGGTACAGCCGCTATGGAAAAGTCTGGTGGTTCTTCAAAAAAATTAGAAATAAAACTCCCATATGATCCAGCAATTCCACTTCTGGGTATATATCCAAACAAAAAGAAATCAGTATCTTGAAGAGATATACGCACTCCCATGTTCATTGCATCATTATTCACAAGAGCCAAGACATGGAAACAACCTAAGTGTCCAGTGACAGATGAGTGGATAAAGAAAATGTCACACACACAAAAAGGAACATTATTTAGCCATAAAAAAGAAGGAAATGCTGCAATTTGTGACGACATGGACAAATCTGAAGGCATTACACTAAGTGAAATAAGAGAGAAAAAGAAAAATACTGTATGGTATCACATGTGGAATCTTAAAAAAAAAACCCAAACAACCACCCGATTTCATAGAAACAGAGTAAAACCATGGTAGCCAGGGGATACGGAGAGATGGGGAAATGGGGAGGCAGGGGCTGAAGGGCACACACTTTCAGTTGTAAGAGGAGCAGGTTCTGAGGATCTAATATGCAGCACAGTGACTATAGTTGGAAGACACTGTCGTGTATTTGAAAGTTGCTGAGAGTAGGTCTTAAGCGTCCTCATCACACACACACAAAGGTTAACAATGTGAGGTGATGGATGTGTTAATGATCTTGAGCTTGATAGTCATTCCATAATGTGTATCAAGGCACCATGCTGTACATTTTAAATATACACAATTATATTTGTTAATTATTCCTCAATAAAGTTGGGGGGCCAAGGCATCTAAACTTTACTAATCAAAACCTATAGCTGCTGAAATTTACTCATATTTTTACATTTACACAATTGAGTCAACAGAGGATAAGCTTTCTGAGACAATGTTAATGTTGAGGGAAAAAACGTTATCATAAACCCCACCCCCCAAAACTGAGCCTCTAAGTCGGCATCTGTGGCTCCCTTCACCCTTCTAGGAAAACCTTGTCAGAGGGAGCAGCCGAGGGAAAGGGGAAAGGAGTTGTTAAAGAACAGGACACCCCCAGCCACGTAAGCTACAGTGTGCGGATTCTGAGCAGAACCAGTACTTCTCAAGCACCTCTTCTGGTGCAGCTGCAGTTGGGCACCGAGGACTCAGAGATGACCTTGGCACAATCTCTGACCTTAAAGAGGACAGAACCACCAGGAACCAAAGGAGAGCTCAGGGTCACCCCTGAAAGTAAAGAACGTTTTGTTTCATCCTCTATGATGTGAGAGAGAAGGTATGAGAGCTGCACGTCCACCTCGTAAGCACTGCCCCCCGTTTTTAATTTTCATTCTGCTGACCTCAATCAGAACATTTTTCAAAAATGGGATTACTTGTCAGGGGCTGGGCAGTGAAAGCACCCAGCTTTGATGAGACCCTTTCTTCCACTTAAAGTGAGAAATAAAGAAAAGTACAATGGACCGAATGTGTGTGTCCCCCGCAAATTCCTACACTGAGGCCAATCCCCAATTTGACAGTATTTGGAAGCGGGGCCTTTGGGAGGTGATTCGGGTCATGAGGGTAGGGTGGCTCACAGATGGAATTGGGGCCCTGATGAGCTGGACCCCAGAGAGCTGTGCTCTGCTTTCCACCATGTGGGGACTCAGTGAGAGGGTGGTAGTGTGGCAACCTGGAAGAGGGTGCTCGCCAGCACCCAACCGTGCTGGTCCCTGACCGTGGGCTTTCTAGCCCCCAGAACTGCGAGAAATGAATGCTGAAGCCCCCTGGTCCGTGGTATTTTGTTAGAGCGGTCCGAACGGACTAACGCAGAGAACTGGTACTGAGATGCGGGGTGGCTCTGGAACTGGGTGACGGGCAGAGGCTGGGAGAGTTCTGAGGTGCACACTCGAGAACGCCCAGAGTGCCGCGAATGGACTCTCATAGACATGTGCTGGTGAGAGCTCAGAAAGAAAAAGAGAGCTAGGGAAAGAGCTTCTGTCTTCTGAGGGAACACCTATGTAATCGTGAACAGAAAGGTAGCAGGAATATGGACGGTAAAGGCCATTCTGATGAGTTCTCAGACAGAAATGAGGAATGGTTAGCAGATAATAGAGAAATAGCAACTCCTGTTATAAACTGGCAGACAATCTGAATTGTGTTCGTGTTCCAGTGTTTTGTGGAAGGTAGAACTTGCGAGCAGTGACTCTGGATATTAGCTGAGGAGATTGCTAAGCAAAGTGCTGAGGGGCGGCTTGGTTCCTCCTGACTGCTTAGAGTAAAATGAGAGAAGAGAGAAACAACATGAATGTGGATTAAGCAAAAAGGAGTCAGAACTTAAAGATCTGGGAAATTTTCAGCCAACCCATACTGTAAGAAATGAGCATGTGTGTTTGGAAGAGAACACGGAGGGTATGGCCACATGAGACTTTGCTAAGGGGATTAGTGTGGTGTGAACCACGGACCACATCAGCTACTCCAGCAGGAAAACCACAAAACAAAATAAAAGGAAAGAGACAGGAAGGAATGAAGGAAGACTATCAAACATCTTGGGTTTTACAGGACAGAACTACGGAGCTATTTGGCTGTGAACATGCAATATTCTTCAAGACGAGAAAAGAATGATCCCGAGGTGGTCCAGAGATCATCATGGCTGCCTGCTTGTTTTCAAAAAGGCGGACAATTGCCTTGCTTTTAACAGGCCTGGTGGACTCTGCCCCAGTGGGTCCAGAAGGCAGACCGTCCCCCAGAGGGCTTGGAGGGCAGAGGATCCAGCCAAAAAGGATTACTCCCAAGCCTGGAGATCTCATGAAGTTTGCCTTGCTTGGTTTTGGACTTGCTTGGGATCTGTCACCCTTTCCTTCTTCCCCATTTCTTTTAGAATGGGGATGTCTCTCCTGTTACTGCCCCAACAGTGTATTCTGGAAGCATGTAACTTGTTTTCACAGGTTCGCAGCTGGAGACAAATTTTGCCTCAGGATGAATTATACCTAGGGTCTCATCCCTATCCCTGATTTAGATGATGTTTACATGAGACTTTAGAGCTGATCCTGGAATGGGTTAAGACTTCAGGG